AGATCTCATGAGTAATTCTCTTTACTGTCTACCGTACAATTTTTATGATATTAGTTCGGAGAATTTGGTATTGGATCTACTGAGAATCCTCTACTTGACATTTTTCTTGATTCTCGTCACTTGTCTGCTTGTTATTGTTTGATACTGTGAGGAGAAATTCTATCTCGGTCACTCATGGCACTTTAAATGTTAAATGACATTTTACCGACTTATCTATTATCTATTTGAGCGTTTCTCCTCCACAACAATGTCAATTATTTTTAAACGTATTCAGGGGCAATGTATGATCTTGATAGGTGAATTTATTCTGAAAATATTCGAGAATTGAAGCGGACTCATGATACGTGGAGGAGGTACGCAGCGTTCTGCCTTTTCAGGCAGTATACGGTGAAATTCACCACTATTAGAACCTTTTACCACCGCCTAAAATCGCTTGGAATTCTTAAAAATTCAATAAGTTAAAGGATTGGTCTTTCGTTTACCTGTCGTGCTCTAACTTTGATAGGTCACTGTTCGTGCCTCTTCAAAAATCGAGACTGGCTCTTTTAAATTTTATATTTGCAATCTGTATCATTCTTCTCTGTCTACAATCATCCTCGTTTATCTTGGTGTTATGCTGGTTTAGTTAATTTCTCTTGCCCCTTTCTTAACCTTTCCATGTCTGTCCCCTTTACGTATACCGAGAGCTGGTACCCACGTCATTTGCGCTTTGGTTGAGCTTTCGTTTGTGAGTATAGGCACATATCATGTTAAAAAGATTTCTTTCCTTCCTGAAACAGCCCCTCTGAGTGCTTTTTTAGCTTTCTCCTCCTTTTTAAGTTCTTCTTCCTGGTGTGATGTGTCCACCTGAATTCAAATACCTTGCAAAGGCAACATTGGTAGAAAACATCAAGTCTCCTTATGACTTTGTCTGTATTACCACACTTATGTCTACCTGCTTCGCTTTAGTTGAAGTTAACCATGCTCATCATTAAATAAGCATTTAAACTATCGATACGCAACTTACTGAACAAAAAAAATTAAAATAAGAATGATTTGCTACACCTAACAGCGACACGTTCTATCCTTCAAATTAGAAGCAACTATCACTTTTAGTAATTATAATTGATGTTCGCTATTGTTTTAGGCGTATTCAAGGGAAAATTATATTACTCTTCGACTCACATTTCCACGTGGATTTTAATTGATCGCATTTACATATAAAAACATCCATAAAAATCAAAATTGTGTGATTTTTGACAAGCTGAGAAGCTATCAGGCCTACTTTGAATTAAATCAAACACAGGACACGGTTTTCCTCTAAAACGTGCGTGGTCGCTCGCGTTTGGTCACGTCGAGCATCATTTCCTACACTAGAACGTGTTTGATTCTTGAAACTCCTACAACAAGTAGTTTCTTCAACGAAATTGGGCCTTTCAGCCTTTTTTTAAAAATAACCAATCATTGTAGTCATTTCTGCGGCTTTCTTTTTAGGCTGTGCCAAATAATTATAATTTATAATCATACGATGCGAATCAAAAGCAAAGTTAAGTTGAGAATGAAATTATATGATATTAATGAGAGAAGTATTCCGGTTTTGTTTTAATACTTTAAAAGTTCTTTTAACATTAATATCTGTTCTTTCTGCTGCGGTTTTTATGTGCCTATTGTTGAGTTGTAATCTTAAAGATATCAAAATTTGCTCCATTGATCAGGCGCGAGTAGCCTTTAATTCATTTTCATTCATCCAATTTCAACCACAGGTGCCCAGCTCTGTTAACCAAAATCTTTTGGTAATCTTTTGTTATTGAACCCGGTTTTCCCAAGCCCTGTACGTGACTAACTTTGTAAACATACTAATGGCGAAAGAATGGAGTTTGAGCCACTAGTTGCTAATAAACATTTGTTACAAAATAACTGTCTGTTTCTGAGATTCCTCGGTGCGTTGTAAATATTCAGAAACAAAACTGAAAATGAGTGCCGTAGTTTTGTCATCAAGCGGATTAGATGCCGTGAACATCATTTTTCGTATTTTTCCTGTCTGATTATCCTTTTCTACCGACTTGAAAATGCGATTTGCCTTTAACAAGAACCCGATAATTGAGTGATCCATTCACGATGAAAAATTTCGCTTAATTTACACCGCACAATGGTTTTAAGTTCCTTGTCATTTATTTTCAATTTGTACGTAGCGATTCTTACAAACCTGTCCCACGAGGCCACCTGAAGTAACTTAATGAGCGTAACCTCCTAAAAAAAGATTTTAATTTGAAACAGACCTTTCGGTCTGGCCATTGTTGTAGTAAATCTTGTAGTGTTTAAATTAGAGAAAATCCGCTGAAACTATTTCATCTTGTTGCATTGTTTTTGTTACAGAAAGTTCGCCTTGTTACTTAAGTTTTGAAAGGACATGAAACAATCTTACTTGCCGCATTTTTCTGATTCAAATCTGAATCGTATCTGCGTGGAACGTTAAATATTGTCTGCCGTCTAACTTTGTATTTATATTCCCTTGATTCTGCTAATGCATGTTTAGGAAATTTAGCGGTTTAAAGGTGCTGTTGATGCATTTGATACCAGCATCTTTTCGAAGTTGTTTTATAATCAAATTGCAATTCTGCAAGCGATCAAAACTGCAAGAATAGATGATACTTCTCCTGGACACGACTCAATTAAAGCAAAAATCTTACGCAAAAAAGAAAGGGAGATGAAGCTGGCGGATTGCATGAATAAAAACGTACCTATTAAATTTTAATTGGTGGTAGACTTTATGCTTTTGATAGATTGTGCGTGATTGGAATTGTAATTAGAAATGTTATGTAACGATTTTTGTAACTGAGAACATCTTTGTAGAATGTCAAACTGCTCCATTGCTGTAGTTTAGTTTAGCTTTTCCAAAATATCGTGCGTGTTGAAGAGGCTAACAGGAATAAAGCTCAAAATTTGCATGCAATATACAACAATAGCATAATATTGCGTTAAAAGAATATTTTTCTTTCATAAGGAACGCGTGTGAATCCTTATCTTCTCGCCTTTCATTTGTGTTTTTTAACAGCCATTTATCTCGTTCTTTCTTCTCTGGCTCAATAGTACATTTAAAGCTGTCTTTTTTTTCTCGATTTTTGCTTGCACATTATTTGTTTAACTGCTAGCTCGGTAAAGCTATTACGATATACAAGTAAGCTTGTGGTTGACGGAGAGAGAAATGTGAGTCTTGTATTGTGTTATCGGATAACTACGAGCGGCCCACCCTTAGGAAGTATAGCAACACCTCTTATATAGGTAAAGAACACGAAAATCAATTGCTTATCTCAGCTTTCGCTTATCTTCCACACACAAGAAGGCGAAAACTGGCATTAAATACCATTTTAAAATCCGCGTCACAATACAGTTTCCGCTGCTATGGGCAATGAACTCTTCGAGACGTTACTTAAGAGGGAAGCTAAATGTTAGCTAAACCGTAAAATTGGTTATCGCTTCAAGTCTTATGTCGATGTTATCGAAGGAGTTAACAGGATCTTAGGTTGGCTCTGCACGCAAGCTTTTACTTGAAAAGAAAGATTTGCAACGCTATCGTGGTCGAGTTATCGAGCCATTCGAGGCCCCGGGTTGTTTTGAGTTATATTTTGAGATGAAAGAACGAGTAAAACGAGAAGCATCATCCATTAGGTAAAAAATAAAATCAAATTAGAAACTTCCTCAATTCTCTGATGCTTAATTGACTCAGTGTGAAGGCATATTCTCCACTAAGGAACACGCGTTCTAGAAATCATGTAACAAATTAGGTTGTATTTCTAACCTGGAATCTATTTCCTTTTATTTTTCTGGAAGTTTATCAATCTACTTGTTCTTTTGGAGAATCAAGTATATTATATACATTAATGAAATTAATTTCTTAAAATAAACTGACAAATTATGGCTTGAGATGTCCTGTGGACTCCAGAAAGTTTTGCGGACATCGCATATAAAGAGAACTTAGCTGTAATTTACTCAGATAGAGGGGAAAGAAAGCTTTTTAATATGATTTTCGAATGAAAATCCCACTTTCCGTTATTGAATAAGCTTATTTGTAGAAAACCACCCAAAGACAATGGTTGTTGGAAGAAATATAATGATTAAGTTTAACCTCATCTATGGGAGTTGAAACCATACCGAGTTTTAACAGCATGAAAACTATGTTATCAACTCGCTTCGTACCGGTCAAAATTTCACAGCTAATTTTCGGTTATTAGTTCTAAAAACCACAAACTGAAAAGTACTTGCAATTGGTATCTAAACAATAGAAGGATGTATTTTCTTGCCGGATGCAACGTAGTTGATGCACTGAAGTGAATTCAGGCCCTAATTTTCTGCTTGTAAATAGTTCTTTCAATTCAAGAAAAATATAGAAAATACAGTTCAAAACACTGGGCTTAGCTTGAATTGTTGACAAAAGCGAAAACATTTATGACTGAGTCTCATTTCTAATTTTGGAAAAATCATCTTTTTTTCCTACAATATATATATATATATATGTTTTTTATCTCGTTAAAACCTTAATGAGCTTTGCTGAACGCTCCGGGTTTTGACTTTGTTCTAAAAACCTACAGCTGATAAAATCTCGAATGAAACGTGATAGCGCTAAGTGTGACGAGGAAACTGTTGCGGCGACTTTTACATAAAGATATATCAACGAATATCAAAAGGCGAAGAAAATTGACTTTAATGTTAAATTATACAAATCAAATTTACAGCGCTCTAGAGGGGTGACTTAGCAGATAACATCAACAAATTACTCTGTACTTTCGGAAAAAGAGAAAAAAACGCCTGGTTTCAAATGAATTAGGGACGGACGGTTATTTTCAAGATTCGGGTGTAACGGATATTTTTCCAATGCGGAAAGACAAAATGAATATAGACCAAAAAAAATTGTTAACTCGTTGAGACAATGTAACGGAGAGGCGCTCGGCAAAAGCTTATTTAATTTTGTTTTAATGGCAGGAGGTTAAAATGTCGCCGTAATAATTCAATCTAACCCAATATATCTTAAAAAATACGCTATGAATAACTGTTTAGGAGGCAGCGACGGTACGTTTCTAGCTTGGCCACCTGCGTTGTCATCGATTTTTAGCTGTTTATTTGAGTTTATCAGCCCTCTCCTGTTTTGTTATTCTTTTGAAATTAAACCAAGAAGTTTATGTTTGATCGGAGAATAAAACGCAGTAAAACCGGACGGGGAAAAGTACACACAAGTCCAAGCACATGCATTAAAGAGGAAAGTTCATTTTTTCAAATGTGATTCAAAGAACTTCAAACGTTGTTTGCTCTGTTTATTTTCGAATGCTTAAGTGTTATAATGAGAGTGCAATTATTTCCCTTATGAAATTATAAAGCAATTTGAATTCGCTTCAAGGTGCCATAAGGAAGGCGAAAATGAATTATTAATTCACTTTGGACAGGAAGCGAGTTTTAATACAAGACTAACTCTCAAAGGGACTTCCTTTTTGTGAAAAGGGAATTTATATGATAAAACAAACTCCACGACGTCTGAAATCACCCCGAAGTTTTAATTACACTTAAAAGGCGCGTATGTTCATTGATTAAGAGATTAAAGAACATATCACGGGGGAAAATTTGAGGAAATAGCGACATGCCAAGTTCAAAACACCTCTAGTAAGTAATCAACGATATTCGACCTCTTGATTTGTTGTTAAAATTGTTGTTGCTCTAAGATAAGAGGCAATCTGATTAATAAAACCTCCCCACACATTATATTCCGTTGCGTGCTCTCGATACATTACGAAATACTCTGTCGATTACTTTTATTTTCATGCCTTTTCAAAGGGGAGCCTTGCTCTTTTGATCTTATTAAGTTGAAACTTAACAGGCGACTGGATTGTGTTTTTGGAGGGGATCTCAATTTTTTTATGTCGCTCCCTTTTACGGCTTTTGTTTGCCAGTGTTTACGGATAAAGTTTTCTTTTTTTTGAGTCGGACTTCACCTGCTGTCTTCAACGCATACACTGAAATGACCACCGCTTTAAAAACCAACGGCGCAGGTGTCCCCCCGCACGACAATACTTGACCAATAAACGGACGTTTTTAACAAAAGGATCTTTCGGCTCATTAGCTCCGTAAGTGACATGAATCTCTGTGAGCGACCAATCACGCTTACAGTTGCGTTTTTCTTTGGCGACGAGCTCTTGTGGCCGCGTCTATATAAAACAGTATCAAATCTACATTCCAACTTGTATATCGATACGATATCTCACAACACAAGCGACTTGGTCTTCAACGGGGTTCATAACCAGGCGATACGCTGTGTGCACAACGAAAAACAACAGTCAGTAAGCAGAGAGGCACAATGAGTTATTCTTCGCAAAGCGGCAGTTTAACAAGCAATGTTACTACAACTAGTAGCGAACGAAATAGCCCGATCAGTAAAGAAGCCGAGAAAAAACGCACTCCAAAGTGCGCGCGCTGTCGGAACCACGGCTTCGATTCTATCTTGAAGGGCCACAAGGGATTCTGCCGATGGAGGGACTGCATGTGCCCAAAATGTCTTCTAATTGCGGAACGACAGCGCGTTCTCGCAGCTCAGGTAGCACTACGCCGCCAGCAGATGCAGGAACAGCGCAGCCCGCTACCCCCGGGAGATGTGTTCACGGCTTTGACTAGAGTTGGCGGTAGCAACAATCAGAGTCCTTCGCCGCGAAGTCCTTCTCCGAATTCCACTAGCGCCGAACCAGGTAAAAACATTTGAAATATCTTTTTATCACTTAACAAACGAATTTGCTTTAAGCAACCATCTGATCTCAAACAAGCAATTAAGTAAAGAAAAAAAGCGCAATTGCGGATGGAAAATGTCTCGAAAATTGAAGTTTTCTACTCAGTCTAAGGCTTCTTGAAATTGTTTTTAACGGCTTCAAAGACATCTAGCAACTTCTTTCACGCTTAAATGAAATAAAAAAAAACATGACCACAACCTGTGCGCTTTCTTGTACAATTGACTGCACCTAAGTTTGTAGCAAAAAGTTTCAACTTGAAAGAGCACAAAAGCCCTTAATGAGCACAGTTTTAATAACATCACTTTTTCGCCTATGTAATCACGCGCAACTCTACTTACTTCCTTAGAAAACCGAATCGAAATTGTTGATTTTCTTAAAAACTTTCCTCAGCTTGTAAATTTTGCTAAGTGCAGGCCAGAGCTCGGTGTATGATTTGAAGTTGTCGCGACAACTTCAAATCGATGTATTATCATTAAAGCTTTGATACACCATTTCAAGGTGTTTCATTCTGTGGTTTTTCGTTTGAATTATCCATCAAGCAGTCACCATATGTTACCGACGTGGGCTGATTAAAACTAAAATAAAAGATAGCAGACCTCACAAAAAGGCAGAGATAAAAAGACTAAATCAAAAACTAATCCAATAATTGAAGGAAATCAGCCATTATAGAAAATTCCACACTCCAATGATTTTTGGGTAATTTCATGTCTGCCTTTGGAACGATTCCAAACGGCCTAGCAACTTCTATAAACACACTACAATTTGTTTCATTTTCTGGTTCTTGTTAATGAGTGAGAGATAAATTTCGAGCCATTTCGCTCGCATCCAAGCAGGCCATGTGTTACTCATCGAAAGAGGAAAGTATGTTTTTGTTTTTCATTATTATTTTGCAGAGATAAAGAAAGAAGCCTCGTCCCCTGTGAGAGAAATTTGCCCCGAACCGATTCCTGTCACGAATACGGCATTTGCAGGTGAATTTTAAGTTGTCATGCTGAAACTTGCCATTGTTTTACAAAAATATAGATATGTATTTATAATTTCTGGTATGACAATTCAATAGAAAACACGGCGAGTGAAGATTGGGCTGAAACCATGAGATACACTGTAAATTACATCATTTTTTGTATCAATGTTATTTCTTACGAGGAAATGCGGTTTTAATTTCAGTTGCTTTTGAAGAAAAGGAAACGAAACGTGGCACCCTTAAGCTTCTAAAAGAATGCTTTATCATTTTAAGGATGAAAAATTGCGTGAAGAGGGCGGAAACAGGCACATTTCATCCATATCTCATAATTCTTTTTAAAAAAAACACGGTCACAAGGAAAGCCTATATGCTGGTAGAAAATTTGCATAGATAAGGAAATTTGCAAAAAAAAATACCGAACTACGAAGTTTGTTTTTCCCATAACAACCACGAGAGAAAACACTGAATGGATACACTTTAATTTCCTCTGGACAATTATTTTGGAAACATTCACCTAATAACAAGATGAAGAATAATATTTTACAGCGTTTGAGGATAAATGACACGACACTCTATTCATCACTATAAAGTTAAACACCAAAATTCTGCTATAGAGCGCTATATCCTCATTGTGAAATAATACTTTTGTTTTCAGATCCCCAGCATACTGCCTTTATTGGATCTTCGCACAAGGATGGGCACACTGAGTGTACCTGCTCGGCTTTCAGACCTTTTACGGGCGTTTTGCCTCATCATTTGCAAGGTGCAACAATTCACCATTCTGATAATTTTTATTTAATTACTGAAAGATTCTCAAAGAATCATATTTGTATTTAAATAAGACGGGTCATGCTTGAATTCATCACAATGATGATAAAGCCTTTTAAAAGACACATTCGCGGTCGGGCTGTTGATTCAAAGCCCAACTATAGGATTACGGCAAAGTATTTATCCAAAACGCCGCAAAAAACGACATCCAGTCTGGTGCTAAATAGATGTTGGCCTTCAAAGTAGCTTATGCTTTGAATGAAGTCTTCATAGATAATATATGTTTTGTTATTGTGCTGTTTTGACTTCAAGCTCTGACACCACAGTTGACAGTTGCGAAAAGATTAGCGCTATCCAAAATCGATAAAGTATGAACGGTTTTCTTTTCTGTATCTTTCTAGTTTAATTTTGAACAGGCCCTCATTAAAATTTTCTTATCTTTTGTGGGGTATCCAGTTGCGTTGATCAGCGAGACTAAAAAAAATTACTAAATTTGGTCTGAATAATGCTTGAAAAGCAGCACACACACCTGCTCGACGGCCGTTTTATGTGATTCTCGTTCATTTCAAGGCGATCTTAATCCCTGCTGAGTTTGGCAGGCAGAATTTTGCTCTTTAGCCATTCAATTAGGAAAAGAAAATTAAAATTTCCCCCCTGAATTCCGCCCGCAAGCCAATTCTAGCTTGTTTTGGTATTGCAAACTTATTTTAACTTTTAAAAATATATTAGTTTTGGAAACAAGCAATTCTTTCAATTTCCTCCTCTGCCATTTGCCAATGTTGCAAGTAACTGTTTTGAAAGGGTCTTTGCTATAATTTCAAAATGGGCGATTTATTTGTATCATGCACTCTATCCAAATGAAGCACAAATGAAGCAATATTTTGCTGCTTAGTTTCACGTTAAAAAGATATTAAAATATCATTTTCGCTGTCTAGAGGCGATAAAAATGCAACGAAATTCAACACTGTAGACTAATCTTGACAAATTACGCAGTAAATTTGAGAAGCGCTCTTTTAGGACCAGCCAAGTGTCCTGGAGTACCAAGACCTTTTAGAATTCGGCTCAGTTTTCCTGTTTAAATCATTCTCCTGGAATGGACAGAAACATTGTAAATTGGGGAACATATATTTACGTTCGACAATGGCCCAATTAAGAGCAAAGTTGTTGTCGTTTCTACAACTCTTGTAGATTTTAAGGAAATTATAGAAATTCTATACGCTAGTTTTTCCTATTTACGACCGCATTAAGGAAAATGCTATTGGCGTCATATTTTTCGACAGAAAAAGTAACAATTTGAATCATTTTTGCGATAAAAATGTCTAGATTCTTAGACGTTTAAGATTAATTTTGAACAGAAGGTTTTCTTCGATTCTCAAATTCGAGACAAATTAAAGCGATGCAGCTCAGCTTTAAAGAAACTAGTCGCAACTGCTCGGGAAAATTTGAACTTTTCAAGAGGAGAAGAATTAGCCAAGAAGTACACCTTTCCAACCGCTTAAACGTGCGTCTAAATTATTAAGATGTTACAGTTTTCCATCAGAAGCGTTTATATTGTCCTTACACTTATGAATTTTGGGCAATAAATATTATCTAGGTTCGTGGGAACCTTAACCGTATTCGTTAACCCACCTTTGATTGTCGGTTTAACACAAAACTTAACAATTCTTTCAGCATTGAACTTGTTACACATCAACTGAATCAAACTATCTCTTCTGTTGCATCTGCATAGGACTGAAAAGAAAGTCTCCAAGCGAGGTTGGCACTGATATGAATCATGGATTCAACCAAGCAACTCTCCTCAGGGAAGCGCAAGAAAAACGCTGTCGCTACTCAAGCGAGTACGAACCGTCCGAAAAACCTTCCATGCATTTCGCGGGTCAGCGACGTCCGTCGGCGATCGAACTGTTAATACGAGTTTTCCCGAAGATCAAAGTTAGTGTCTTACAACTAATTTTACACTCATGTGGCGGCGATTTGGGACAAGCAATCGAAGAAGTTTTCGCGCGCTACAAAAGTGAGGCAGCCAGCGTTTTTATGGGAGTACCGAATCCTTGGACGCGCTTGCCGCAAGACGCCGTCAGAGAATACCATCACCCAGCTCTTCGCCCAGACAGTTTCAAATACATCCGCAGCAACGAGACTTTCGTAGGAAGCCCAAAGTCTGCTTTTACCCCAATTTCAACCCTCTCTAAAGCCCATTTTATAAACACGTCCTCAGGGAACGTCCCTTACGCTTTAGACACGGGAAGAAGTAAAGAGAACTTTCCAATTTCATTTCTGTTTGACTCTGCGAGGATCAATGCTTCGTTAACAAGGCCTCAGGCCTTGGTTTTGAATAAAAATAAAGATGGCGAAGGTGGTACCGAAATAATAGAGGATATAAAGACCGGTGGCGATTTGATAGCAGAGAGTCCGAGAAATGATAAAGAAAAGTAACTTTATTTAAAAATTCAGTTTTCCGCATGGAAGAATATTTATGTTGAAATTAGTGCTTAAAAATGACAGCAGCCCCTCGCAATTATTAAATACTAAATATGCGTCCTTCGGACTAAGATTATAAGGTATATGAGGCTTCATTTGAAGCTCTGGAAACTTAAGCAAAACTATAAAAATTTTAATCCAAAGTATCTCAAGAAGAATAAGAAATAATACCGTTGTTAGTTTTAAATGTCTGCGGCGACTTTAAATTGCAAATATAATTAATAGCAAAATATGTTTTAAAAGGAAAATTTGAAGTTCTATATAAATTTATTCATGTGTCAAAGAAAACTATGCTGTCACATCTGGTGTTCTTAGCACCGAAATCAAAGGATTTTCCTGTTGCAAAACGATAAAATACTGGCAAAATCAGCTCAAAAAGATATCGACTTGATGCCCCTTAAGATGTTTATTCCATGAGAAAATTATTCACCGCCTCAAATTATCCTCCCGTTTCGTTTAATGTCCGCACAAGCTTTGCAAAATGTCTCTCACGCACTTTTCCTACGAGATAGGCAATTGAAAAATTGAATAAAAGTTAGCGAGGTCGAAAGATGAAATGTCGCTCTACAGGCCCCAAAAGAAAATTAATAAATGCATTCATGACCTGATCAAAGGTATGGGAAAATTACAATGAACGACCTCGGTAAGCTGCTTTTTACTTGACTGTCATCTTGTAATAACGTATTTATTTCGGAAGACCAGGCTTCCGAAAAAAGCATGTTTTAAACAATAATCATTTCTCCGCAACGAGTTACAAATCGTTCGCCGCAACACTAAATCCTCTATGTAAAATTGTAAAGAATATTTAGAAAAACAGAAGGGAAGTACTTTTCACTTCCAATATAATAAAAAACTCATTTTGCTGAATAATATGGTTTGTATTTATTGATTCCAACTGGTTTTGTCGGCTTGACGTTTCAAAACAACGCGAAATTACCGATCAAAAACTTTTTAAGAAAAATGTTGATCAAGAGGAAGACCTAATTTTGAACTAAGATTTTTACCTTCAGCACAATGCGAAAATTCACTGGTCCTTCAAAAAACAAATTTTTAATCTTTCAGTATTTTGCGGCACAAAAGGAGATCGCAAATGAATTGAATTTTTGGTCGAAGTTAAATATTCAAGTTCCTTTTCTTCAAGATTTGAATGGGTTCTGTTTGCTTAGACTTCAAATTACACCAATATTAATTTGTGTTATAGTTCATTGAATAAAACTCTCTGTCTGTGTTTTATTATTTTTTTTCTTACACATGGCTGTGAAGAGGACTGTGGCGATTTTTTTTTTCTGCTTGGATTCGATTCAGAAGAAAAAGACACACGTAGCGAACCCAATTTATTCGATTTTGAGTTTGCAGGTTTAATTTCACCTAAGCGTTAACGAACAGTTAATACGAGAATAAGATCTGACAAAGCCTCGAGCAAAACTACTCATACATAAATAATTTGGCCGCCTTTGTCTTTGCCAAACACGACCGACAAAAGAATATAAACTTTGTGAACAAAATGAAAGCAAAACATTACTGAGGAAAACAAGACCTGTTCAAAGCCGGAAATTATACGCAAAACATCAATACCGTAAACAATATAAATGGCGAGTAATTTGAAAATTTTTAGCAGGTGTCTTCAGTGGTGATAGAACTAAAATCCGGCAGGCTTTATATCAGCTTTTTTTCACCTGGTGTAGTCATTTTTGCCTTTAGTCGGTTTATTTACAAACTTAATGGTGCTCAAATGGCTTATTCCATTCGCATTAGGGACAGAAAACGTCGATTTAATGACTTCAACGTGAAAAAGTGCTTACAGTCGGTCCTTTGATGTGGAAATTGGAGCCGACCAGTGTGACGTTATTGTAATCCAACAAATACATAGTTTGCGGATTTTTCGCAGTGAGAATTCTGTTTTTCCTTTGTATAAGGCTGGGGCTTGTGTGTTTTGTTTATTCGCTGATCAATCATTTTGTTTCCTTTAGGGCGGTTTCTTAACTCGTACAACACACTCTTAGGACCGAGGGAGAAATAACTTTTATTAAACACTGTCGTTCAATCGAAAATATCTTTGAAGGGTGAAATTCTTGCTTTGATATATTGCGTATTAAATAAAGATCGCTGGCCAAAATTTCGATATTCCTGTTAATGACGGTGCAAAATTTACATGAGAACTGAAAGATCTTGTTGCGATTTTCTGTTGTTCTAAGAAAAAAAAAAAGAAAAGAAAAAGGCCCTAGCGAGTTTTAGAATGCATCTCAGTGGAAAATTCAAATTGGATTGTTTCTGAATCTATTCTTCCGACGAGTTACGAATAAGGTTGAAGCTGTCAAATTTGATATTATTTTGTAACTTGCATTAATAAAATCTAGATTTCGGCGAGCTTGTTCATTAAAAGGTTTACAAAAAAATGCGCTACTGACTTCGAATGACTCAAATTAATATCAAAATTTAATATCATGCTCTTGGTAATGCCGGAAAGTCTTGTTTCTTAATGCGGGTAAATAACTTATGTGTAATATTACTAAACAAGTTGTAAGCAATTCTTTCAACGAAACTTGAACAATCCAAAACGAAAAAGCATTGACATCTTAGATTCCCTAAAAGTAAAGAAAGGTTTTGTAAGTTTTGCGTTAATAAACAACGAAGGAAAATTGATTGATTAAATGCTAAGTTACTTTCTGAAATTTTGTGTTACAAGAATCTAGCGAAACTTGACATTGCTGATATAGTAGAATTATTGTTATTAAGTATTATTTTAGACATATCAGGGCATATCAGGTGTAGATCTGTTGAGGAAATCTCTCTGCCCTCTAATTATAGGCATGAATATTGCCGGTGGAATCGTTTTTGGGGTGTGGTAGCGATATCTTTCCCGCAACACGGAATAAAGAAAACAAGATAACTTGTCAGGCATTGTTCCGTGCACTTAATTGGGAAGCCATCTCAGTGTGGATATTAAATTTGTCAAGATCTTCCGATATTTCATTACGAATAGGTCATTGTGTCAACTTTACGTCGCGTTTGAGTGGTTTATGAGATCGACAAAAAGCATTTTTGACGCGACTTGCTGGTTTTTAAAACAATACGCTTTTCTGTGAAATAAACAATTTCGTAAATTGTCAATTCTTCTTTTTATCCGGAGCAATTGAATAAAGCTCAGCTTTTTTATTTCTCTTTTAAAGAACCGATCCATTAAGTCTTCCTGCGGAAAATTAAAAGTAAAGTTATAATGATAATAAAGTTGAAAATCTTAGTGGAAAATTTCCGAGGAAATGCATAAGTAGTTATTTTTAGCAAACAAGATTCACAACTGACCAAAAGTCCTATATCTCTAAACACACACACAGAGAAAAAAATTACAAAAGAAATAGCGGTTGAAGTTTCCTTTCGTAATAATTGTAAAACGGGCATTTAATGGCGCAACATGAAGGGGAACTGTTTCATGCCTTATAAAACTTACTAAACTTATTCGGCTTCTTGGAGCACCGAGTGGTCGTAATTAATTTAGTCTGAACAAAACGGCAACTAACAGTCGTCCATAGACGACTTCCGCTCAGAATGGCTCTCTCGTTTACCGAAATATATAGCTTTGACGTTGATTATAATGCGCACTCGTAATTTTTTTTTTAAGCCATAAAAATATTGTCTTCGTAGACCTGGAATTAAAAAGTCATTACTCACTTCCCGGTCGGGGTGTTGTTATTTCAGAAGCAATCAACTCTTAGATGAACGTAAAGTCCCTTCACACCCACGACACTTAGTTGTAGATATTAATAACCGCCTTGTGAGTTATGACAGTCAATATGCTTCCAAATTACTTCCAGAGGATTTAAATATTAAGAGAGACAAATTAAAATAAGTAAAACAATCTTTATATATTGCCCCGTCGAATTTTACTTAATTTGCGTTATCTGCCAAGTTGGTAGAGCTGTCAGACTTGACTATGTTTGTCTAAAAAAGAGCCCCATTTTGTAGAATCGTTGGAAAAATTTTAATCATCGTTGTGCCTCACTTTTATCTGTGAAACAAAAGATACCATCGGGGAATTCTTGTCATTAACAATTACCATAGGGTGGCAATGTAAGAGCGGGTCTTGGTTAGAGTGAAGGGGGGGAAGGGTATGGGAGCAGGAGAGAGAATAAGGAATGTGACTTTTAAAGTAAGCTGCCAAAATCATACCATAAACCAACCGTTATGATCCCTTATCTGCCTAGATGGTAGAACTGTCAAACTTAATTGTAAAACTGGTCAAAATTGGTAGAACTGTCGAACGTAACCGCTTAAATCAGACAGTCCGGGATAGTTATCAAATTTGATAACCCAGACCAAGACAAAACTGTAACCAATCGCTGCTCAGATTCACGTTCACGTGACGTTACTTAGGCAACAATAATATATTCAACATGACGTCCGAAGGCCAATCCACAGTGAGTTAACTAATTTGACTGTTTTCGATTGGAACTTGTGATTTACATTTGTACAATTTCAGACAGTTATTTGATTAGGAAAATACAATAGCTTCTTCTTTTTTCTTAGTCTCAATAATTTTCATTCGTATTATTTTGCTTTCTTGGCGGACGACCATGCCCCCAGGTTTCATTTCGGTACGTTCTAACTATGCATCTGTGCGAAAGAAAAAAAGTTTATATTCAGTGACACTGCTACTTCATTGGTGAATCGTCCAAATAACAAACGGTTCCAGCCCATGGGCGAAAAGAGGAATGAAATCGTAGCGTACTTCCACCGCGAAACCGTGTAAATGAGAGGGTTGCTTTGAATAAAAGCTTCTTGAAAGAGAAAAGAAGCTGAATAATCCATACTGTCACGCTCTTAACGTACCTCCACGGCCGCATCCACTCCTTCCTCTTCCATTTCTGATTTGACCAGTGAACGCCTTCTCTCCACTTTTCCGAGACGCTGCAATCGAACGCCGAGCCTCAGGGTAGATTATGAAAGCGCCAACTGAAACCCACTCTGGGGCCAGAGTCAAGAGGAAATGTACAAACAGAATGATGAGTCAGCTATTGAACCTATCACCTACACAGCAGAGCGAAGAAACAATGTCTCCTTCATATGAAAACA